ATACAATATCATATCAATCAAAATATCACATAAATAAATAAGAACACACTACTCTACTCCATGAGACACAAACACTGAGCAGCATTACCCAATATTAAGGAAATTATTTCATCATAGAACTTACCTTTTGAGCTCAAACTCTTATTTTTAGCTCCTTTACATATCTAAAATTAAATACGTCAATATCGCCATATTATTTATACATGCTCAGAGTGATTAAACGTCTTTTTGAAAATACAATTTACCTACTCTGAAAATAAAAACAAACAATTCATTAGTTTTAAAGCACAATTCAAATGAATCCCTTTTGGATTCAACAGATCTTTTATAAGCTCTCTACCACAAACAAAACCTACTAAATAACAGCTAACATTACTATTTTTGGTAACAATCCAGTTCTATAAACGGAAAATAATTATTTGTTTTCACCAACTTGGACAGTTACTCCAACAGAACACACAGCTGCCAACCTTGAAATCTGAAACACCAGCAGGTTTTTCACAATGCACAGGGATGCGATTTCCAGAGAATATTGAAATTATATAAATCTGCATTACTGAACTATTTATAATGGAGCTGTCATGTAAAATATATAAACATTTCGCTATATATTGGAAATTTTATTTCATTTTGCAATTTTATTAAACTTTTATGCTGACAAAAACCATGAGTATGGGGAAAATGCCTTTTTTTGCTAATCAAAGCACTTTTATCCCTTAGCGCTGCACATGTTTTTGTACTCCTGCCTACCAGCAACTCGACACATTTTTGCAGAGGAATGCAGCATCCAGAATAGCTGCATAAATCTCTTTCTTGTAAATTTTTAGCAAAGAAAAAGATCTAACTATTCTCCTTAACTGACCAATAATCCTGCATATTCGCCAGGGGTATTGTACCCATATTGATAATTACTCCAATAAAAGCCCAAAACTCATCCTCTTCCACCGCATGCCATGTTTTCCAAATAGAATTACTAGATATTTCTTTATTCTTTAGAACATTTTCTGCATAATTGTTGGTTTCTTTTATAATTTCATTTACCAGTTTGTGAAAATAATTTGAAATATTGTGTCGGCTGTACAATATTTGTAGGAATTTGTGGTCCAATGACCTTTGGCAATACACTAAAATGGTTTCTATCTGGAATACCTAATTCTTCTGTGACATCGCGCCATTCACCTGTCTTCCGGCGACTCTTCGCTTTCACTTTCAATAACTACCATCCGTCGTCTCTTTGGTAGTATAATTTCGGAACCACTATTTGAAGTGTCAGAATTATAATCAACATTGTCTTCCACAATATCTTCTAGCAATGAAAAATCAAACACATCTCCACTATCACTCAACTCTATATTCTCATCACAATAATTATTTTTCTCCATGTTGCTAAGCATAAAACGGGTCAAATAATGTTTCAATCGTAACAGTAGCGAGACTGAGCATGTTTTAACTACTGATAACAATTGCCAACGCCGACGATTCCATAACATCTTATCCTAATCATGCTAAAAACATTGGGCTCTGCAGCAGATCCTATGGTGTTACGGAACAAATGACTGACGGCTCTGTAGCAGAGCCTACAGAGTTACGCAACAAATGACGGACGGCTCCATAGCGGAGCGCTAAGGGTTAAATATTATAAAAATAAAATTACTAAAGCCATGTAATAAAAACTAGTTAAATAAATGCAAATTTAAAACATAGCACATGCGGACGAATCCTATTTCCATAGAATACCGAAATGATTTAAATTTCCATTACTAAACTATTTATAATGATAGGCAGACTGGAATGTAACGTCACTTTCTTACATTAAATTCAAACGAATACATTTTTAACAAGTTTTTATTTTTAATCAATAATAGAATCACCTTTGTTATCAACAACCTTTTGCCATCTAATGTGCAGATTTTCAATCCCTGACTGATAAAAATCAATTGGTTTTTGAGTAAGATATCTCGAGAAGACATTTTGGACATCATCCAAATTTTCAAATTTTTTGCCACTAAGAAAATGCTGTAGGGATCTGAATAAATGGAAATCCAATGCTGCGATATCGGCTGAGTATGGCAGTACCTCTCACCCCAATTCATTAATTTTTTCCAGTGTTCGTCTTGCACGGTGCGGTCTTGCAGAATGACGCCTTTTCTGTTGACAATTCATATTTTTCGATTAAAGATTGGTTCACTCCAACCAACTGTTCACAATAAAGGTCTGCATTAACAGTTTTTCCAGGTTTCAGCAATTCAAAATGAAGAATTCCGCGAATAATCCATCAAACACCCAGAAGCACCTTTTCGGTTAGTAAATCCTTTGTAAGCCCTATTAAAACTGCCTTTTGAGTTTTGGATTATCATATAGGACTTATTTTTTTGTCTCCACTAATCAAATGATCAAAAAACGGTTCTGTATGGTGACGTTGAAGCAATACGTTGCATGTGATGGATAGGTTGGCTTTGTTCTTTTCGGACAGATTATAGGGGACTCAAACACCTGCTTTGCTTATTTTTCCATTCTGCTTTAAATGTTCTTGGATGGTCGACCAAGGTTGGTTAAGAGTGTTTGATATGGATTTGCTTCCACTTCTGCCCCTAGCATGTTGTTGTCAACATGTGCAGAAACGACATTACTTTCCAGTCCCCCTATTAGTATTCTGATGTAAAACGTTAACATTTCATTATATATTCGAAATTTTATTTCACTTTCTAAAACTTGTATGCTGACAAAATCCTGAGTATGGGAAAAATGCCTTTTTTTCTAATCAAAGCACTTTTAAATACTATAAAAATAAAATTATTAAAGTCAAATAATAAAACTAGTTAACTAAACACAAATTAAAAACAACCTATGTGGATGATACAGCGAAACACAGAACAAAATCTCTTCATTTCACATCAGTCAGGTTACAATTCCTTCATTTGACTTCAATTTCAGCATGTACATAGATTTGATGTTAGAAACCTGTTTTTGTGCTCTTCTTCACCTAATGCCTAGCTGGCCACTCCAATTTCTCCTGCAATTTGATGGGTTAAAGACAAAGGCATGTCAGTGATAGCGAACTAAGAGCCTAAAAATTAAAACTTTCCATTGCAGTATTCTTTTCCCCAAAATCTGTCTGGCACACTTTTGTATTTTACCAAACTATTCAAACAAATTTCCTTATTTTTCAATACTCAAATATTAGCATAATCAGAACTAATCATTCTAGATACATGACAGCAGAATGCCATTTATGTTTTATGTAATTTTAAGTAAATTTTTAAAATCTCCAAAATACTTCAGTTACTTGCAGCTGATTTTAGTAATTCAGCAATGCATAATTTTTTAATACTTATTAATGTGAATGATTTTGTTTTTCTAGAACTGTATGCCTTTCACAGGGATTAGTTCTTGGAAAGCATGATGCATTCTGATACAGACACATTTCAATCTATATTTGAAGGAAACAGAAAGAAGTCAGGGTACTGGCTTCAAGCATCTGTGAATTTACCCCTTCCACTGTCGATATTTGATCACTTTGGTGGTAGAATGTCTGCAGATTAAAGAACTAGATAGAATCATTGCTATAATTTTTTAGTACTTATTAATGTGAATGATTTTGTTTTTCTAGAACTGTATGCCTTTCACAGGGATTAGTTCTTGGAAAGCATGATGCATTCTGATACACAGACACATTTCAATCTATATTTGAAGGAAACAGAAAGAAGTCAGGGTACTGGCTTCAAGCATCTGTGAATTTACCCCTTCCACTGTCGATATTTGATCACTTTGGTGGTAGAATGTCTGCAGATTAAAGAACTAGATAGAATCATTGCTATAAACCCCTACACAAATTCCTGTGTGTAACATGAATTCTATTTATAGCCTTTCTGATGGTTACACACATTAATCCACATTCAGATAAATTCAGTAGAATATCATATATATATATATATCTATATATATATATGATTTCTACTGTACATATATACTTTGGCATTTTTCAGTTCGGAATTTCTAGTAGCTTACAAAACTAAAGCTTTAACTTAAATATTTTGGATTAACCTTACTGTTATTTACCACGTCTGAAAGAGTAAATTCAAAATTTATGATTTAATATTACTTTGTACAAACAATGTAAGCAAATACAATGTTTTCAAAAATATATTTATTTCATAAAACAACTTTATGAACAAATTTATAAAAAATATTTCCAATACAAAAACATACATCTTTTTTTTTCAACATTGTTAATATTAAAAGACGAAATGTTCACAATAATTAAATGCAAAATTTGTCTTTCTTACTATTTCCACAAAGAGCATTAATAATAAAACAGATTTTCTAACATTTAAATTTTCATGCAGGACTAAACAAAAACTTTTCTCATACATATATATTAATAACTGAAAAGACTACAAATGTGTAATGGAATTATTGAGAGTATAATTTATTTTTATATACATATACAGAAATACTACAGCTAAATTATAAAATAATATTTCTAAATCTTTTTCTACTCAAGACACTAAAATAATTATATATATCATTAACTACTACTGTTTAAGAATGCAAAACATTTTTACACAGGGAGTTCCATATACAGACAGCCACAATTTGTTTAACAAACAGTAAATAAGAAATTTTCAATAATCAGATGAGCTGAAGATATGCTCAGTCATAAGTATTTCATTTACATGCATCTCCTGTTTGGCCTACAAGAATAAGTGTTTCTATCATTCTAAAAGGGAAATTTATGTTTATAAAACCAGATGATATGGTTTGTTTCTGCAATTGATTTCCAAAGAGCATCATGGGACACTCTGCAAATTTTTTATGGTCTATATCATTTTCTGGCTTTTACAAGGATGCTAAGGCACTGTATTCCAGTTAACACCTTAAAGCAAAGAATATATACCACAGAAATGAGAAAAACCACACCAACAAACTGATGTCAAATGCTCTAAGATTTACAGAACATTAGGCAAGGCACTAAGATTTAATGTAATTTTCTATCACGCTTTTTTTTTTTTTTTTTTTTTTTGTGTGTTTCACACGCAAAAATTAAGTCATTGACATAGATGGTAATTCTTCATACAAAGTAAGTATTTATATATAAATAAATGCAACTTCAAATTAAATGCTTTTTTAATAATACACATGGACCTTTTTGCTCCTCCCTCCCCCCCCAAAAAATTATCCTTTTAAGTTCCAAGAACAGTAGAAAAATTTATGAATCTCTTAATGAAATATGTATAACGTAACAGTGCTTGTCTTAAAAAAACTTTATATATAATTAAAAAAATTAAACACAGTCAAATTTTTCTAACTTGAAGAATAAACCACAAATATTCATTTCAGAAATGCTTTAATATAAGTAGTATTACTGCTCAATATGCATCATCAAATCATAAGTTCCCAAGCAGATAATTTACTGTATGAATTTCTATTAAACATGCAGTAACTACCAGTTACTAGCAGCTCTAAAAATTAAATGAATTTATCCTTAAAAAAATCAGCTTTCTTCATAGATTATTTTCAAAGATGCACAATACGCTACTTAGCTAATATTTAAGTACATTAATGGTAGCAGAAATCAATTCTTTGCTTCCTAAATTAAAATTATAATAAACATAACAAATGGATTAAATGATTTTTTACTATGTCTCTCATCATATATATGATTAGCCATAATACAATGCACATGTAAGTCACATTTAATTTGCACAAAAAACTTGCTAAATATTTTAAGTCTCGTATGCTGAGCAATAAATATTCAAAATTAAGACAACACATTTAAATTGAATATTTTACATTCAGTACAGTTATTTTTTATCCTAGAGTCAATGATTCCCCAATTAAAAACCTCACTTTATTATCTTCATTAAATATCTCAAATAGTTAATCTCACTGCAGTTATACTATTTGCAGCAAAATATTACACAGATGTATCTTGAGAGCACACTTCAGTGGAAACATCTGAACTATCAAACATATTGTCACCTTGACTATGAAATCCACTTGTTGCATTTGATGAAGAAATTGATGCACTGGAAGAGGCATAATTATATGCAGAAAAACGTCCTTTTAATGAAGGGCTCCACCAGAAGCGTCGTTTCTGCTTAGGTTGGGGTGATGTTTTAGCAGGCACTAAAGGCAAATTAACTGATATTTCAGGAAAAGAAAGAACCGAAGAAGCACAAGTACTTGCTGTAGAAATACTGAGTGAATAATTACCAGATGTAACTGCTGCTTGAGTTACAGTTGGGGGATACGTAATTGCAGGTGTAGATGTATCAGATGATTCAAGCTGGGGAACTGAATTAGCTTTTGATGCCATATTTCTATCAGAAGAAATAAACATGGAAGTACAAACATCTTGAAGAGATGAGATAAGTCTATCCCAAACCCAATCTTGAATATCTGCTTTGGTAAAATCAATTTTAGAAACATACCTTAAAACTAAAGGTATTTCACAGGGAGCCAAAACTATTGGAATAAGTATTCTTTGTCTTTGTTCTGGAAAAGGAAAAAAATAAACATGTAAGTTTCCTTTAACCGACATACAAATTTTAGTATATAAAACTTATAAAAAGATTAAAAGAGAATAAATGGAGTGTTAGGAACACAGAGCAATATCTTGTTTTGACAAAAAAGACAAATTCATTAAAAATGTAATGGAAAATGGTGAGAAAACTAAAAAAAATTACTGAACATATAAACTTAGGCATATTAAACCCCAGTACAGTAATAACTATGTCAAGGTAATAAACGTAGAAATAGAATCCAAGTAGAAAAATTGCTTTAGTTATGCAATGACCTTTTGAAAGTGACGATGCAGTACATGATTATTTAAAATCAGTTGACTTGAAATTAATCAAGGAACCCCATCCATCATTTTCACCATAAGCTATCTAATACTGCTTAGTTCTAGCTAGATGAGAGGAGTTTGTAATTATTTAAAATAATCAGTATTTGAGTGCTATTAGACTATGATGAAATTTCTTTCACTTCAGCTTAGTGATGTACTTCTTCCTGTGCAAAAAATCTTCCATCTCTATATGGAATACAGTACAAAGAGATTTGGACTTGTCGGGACATCCACAATTCTGGATTTGGGATTTTTCCAGATATTAGATCATCAGTTAAATACCTAGTAAGATGACATCTAAATACTATAAAATTACAAATCATGATTTATGAAGTAAAAGGTAACAACAAAATTTACAAAAAAAAAAAAAAAAAAAAAAGTTTAATATTTGTTTACCTTATTAGACATCTCTTTGAATATAAATAGTCTAAGTTGCTTCATTTTTTGCACTAATACTTTCCGTTCAATTCTATAGACAGGCATAATGTCTTGTTCAGTTACAAAGTTCCACCATTCAAGTCCTGTAGCTCCTGTGTCGAGAATTCCTACCAACTTGTCAATCGAAATTTTTTCGTTTTCAATATCCTCTCTATCTTCAGTATTGGTAGCAGTATATTCTGGATCTAGAACCATATTACATATTTTGATGTCCATTAATTGACTGATGATTGGAGCACTGTCATTGAAATGAAAAACTTCTGTTATATCATCTTCATTTATTACTGATTCTCCACATTTCTTTACAAAATACATTAACTGGAAAATTTCACCTGTGGTTTGCAATATCCAAAAGCCTTCAAATTCACAGCTATCATCCTCATCATCCTTACGATGACATATGGTAGCTGGCCATAAATTATGAAAAGCATTTTTTAAGTATCTGAAGGCCCGTCCTCCCATGATCTTGCGATGTTCAAGCAGACATTATGCTAAAATATTAAAAAAATTCTAATAAATTCTAATTTTCAAAAATAATCTTGCCATTATTTAAGAAATTTAACAATGGAATTTAAAAATGCTACTTTATATTTGCATTTGAGCATGCACACTATTCCGATATCCATAGGCTGAATGATGGACGTACAGTTTGGAGGGATGAATAACATGGATACATTATCTTTCATTAAAACTTTCAGGACAATTTTTGCACCATCAGGTAAAAAAACCAAATTCAAATTTTGCTCAGCCTCTGGTATGAAATGATTTTCAAACTAATCATACATTGACGCTTGCATCATCAAAGCTTTTTTATTTGCATGATATATAATGGAGAAATCTTTACTCCTTTAAATGCTCGAGGTCGCGTATTTTTTCTGATTACGAAAAGTTTACACCTGTGCATTCCTGCAGCATTTGCTCATGCTAAAACTGTTGGTCTACCTCTCAAATCTTTGACTCCAGTTGGAGGCTTTTCTGTAGAGGTTGTCAAGGTATTTCACGGTACATAATGCCAGAAAAGACCAGCATCATCAGCATTGTAAATTTGTCCCGGAGATAACATTTCATTATTAATGAGTTCGATGAATTCATCTGCGAATAGTTCAGCAGCTCCAGTATCAGCTGAAGCTTTTTCACCTGAAATTTTTAATTGCATTATACCACAGCAATTTTAAAATTTGACTAACCAATCTGTTGAATATGTGCATTCAGGTTTTAAGTTCATTTTTTCATGAAATATTTTGGCTTGAGCACTGGACCCGTCAATGTCATAACCTTGCTGCGTCTCTGTTTGACCATTCAATCATCACTTTGTCATGATCGTCACTTTTAGCATAGCGAATAATTTTTCTGTTATTCATCGCAAATGGGGTGCCGGAATCCACAAAAGATTCTTCAAAAAGATCAAGTTCTTTTTTTCTGTTATGTCACATACAGTTGACTTTCCAATGCCATATTCCTCAATAATTTTGAGATGGATATACTTATATCAATTTTTTTGTAGCAATTCCACTTTCTGTTTAATGGACATTGAAACATGCTTTCGGTTTGTAGATCCTGTTGCAGCTCATTAATTAGAAACTCTTTTTTACATATCGAAAGTTCAAACTTTAGTTTTCATAAAAATGTTTTAATTATAACAGCCTGCAAAAAATAATAAGTGGGATCAACTCAGAAAGCTAAGGAACAACGCAATGTCCTATATTAACTTAAATTCTTTGGAATTAGTAAAGTATACTTTTAGCCTAGCTTAACAGCGAATGACACTTTCGGTGAAAACTGTGAACAACAAAACAAATGCACAATTTTGCAGTTACACCAGCATTCACAAAAATAGTAATCTAGATACATATAGATATTTTTAATTTTGGTTTCCTTTCCAGGGAGTGTGAAGTAAGTTCTTAAAGTAACTGAAATCATCAAGAAAATCAAACTTGTCAAAAGAATGTGGATATTTTTTATGCAAAACCAAAATACATTTATTCTGCACTAGCTGAAGAGTCCAAATATTAAATACTACTTTAAAACATGTTGCAGATTCAAGACTATCTGAATGACCAGAAACGATCTTATTAGGATAGAAAAAAATGCAGTAATGAATATGGCAAAAAATAACCTAAATACGGTACTGTTTTCATTTTGAAACAAACTCATTATTTAAAAAAGAACTGCTTTAGTGAAGGATATGATTTTGAAATGGAATCCATAAAAAGTTGCTCTATAAATACCTAGGAATGCAAGAAATTGATGCCTAATGAAAATGACTTCTCGATATCTGATTTGCAGATTATTTTGGCACATGAATCTAAGGAACAACAACGTAACCTTATTCATAAGAATTACATTCTATATGAACATTTAAATTATTTATACGGAAATATTTTTCTTAATAAATGAAAAAAATTGTCAAACATAATAAAAAGAAATCTTTGCCACTAAGGAATAAATTTTTAACACTCAGCAGAACATGCACACTAGTAACAATCTTCTCATAACATCATTAAATTAACCTTTCATTTAGAAGACACAAACTGCCACACGAAGTTTAGTCAAATTACATATTAAAGTCCATAGTTCAGACAAGCATAAAAACTTTAATTTTTTTAAGAGTAAGAAGGGGAAAAACTTGTATCCATTTACTTTTGACACTTTGAACGAGAAAAACAATTTGCTTTTTATTTTATTATTTTGCTTAATTTTTTTTAATCTACTGAAGAGGAAATATTTCAATTAGAATAAAGAAATATAACACTCCTTTTATATCCATTTTTCAAATAATTACATCTAAATTTAAAATTAATGAAAAAATAATGATCTACATATTTCTATATTTAATGCCGAAGTCTGTATGTTGGAACGACTTAAAAAAATCATTAAGTTTCACAAAGCAAATATCTGCATTCATAAAGTAGTTTTTACATATCAAGTTATAACTTCATAATGGCACTAAAGCATTCTAAACAAAATCACTCTTCAAAAGCTAAATTCAGAGAGCAATTTTATGGTTAATATGTGCAATCTCTTTCATATCAATCTTTTAAACATACTCACCAATAGCTAAGCCGGCAGCAAAGCTAGCCTGAAATTCACAAGCTGGACTTTTCAGGAAATCTGGAGATAAGATTATCAACATACGTCTGCATCTGTATGAAAATACAAAGCATGTGAAAGAAACAAAAATATATGACAGGTTACACACATTATCCTGTCATTAAATTATTTTACCACTGAACAAATGAATGAAGTTTAAACTATGTTACAATAAAATACATCAGGATTAAAACAGCTACAGTCAAAAGTTGTTAATCCATACTCGTCGGGACTTCGGCGATTTCGGATTATCGATTTTTCCGGATTATAGATCATCAGTTTTAATCTGGTAGATGGCATGCAGAAATTATAAAATTAAAAATATGAAAACGGTAATTATGAAATAAAGAATAATTATGATATAAAGGGTATCAAATTTAAAAAAGGAAAGCTTAATATTTATTTGTTTACTTTATTAAAAATTTCTTTCAATTAAGTTGTTTAAGTTGCTTTGTTTTTATGCATAATACTTTCTCTTTAATTCTATAAACAACATAATTTCTTGTTCAGTTACAAAGTTCGCTGTTCAAGTCCTATAATTGCTGGGTCGAGAATACCGACTAATTTGTCAATCGAATTTTTTCGTTTCAATAACCTCTGTGTCACTTTCTTCGCTATCGGAAGCAAATTATAATGACGAGGAATTTGATTTAAATCATATCAAAGATGGAATATATCGAGATGAAATACTACATTTAGTAAGGAATTATAAGCCAAATAAAATGAAACATCTGCCCTGAAGATAAGGATAGTGCTGACAGATCAACTTCCAGTTCATTGTGTGCTGTCGCGACCACCCCTCCCCCCAGCCGCAGAGCTGCGTGAAATTGATAAACAGATTTCGGAATGGTTAGATAAACAAAGGATTATACCTTTATCCATTTTTGCAGCAATTCCACTTTTTGTTTATGGACTTCGAAACATACTTTCGCTTTGTAGACCTTTACATATTAGTACATATATCAGAAATTCTATTTGACATAATCGAAGGTTCAAGCTTACTTCTATAAAATGCTCTAACAGTCTGCAAAAAATAATAAGACGGATCCAATTCGAAGATTAAGGAACAACGCATCTGCAACATTAATGAATTAGATAATTTTAGCTTAGCTTATCTGTCTGTTATCATTAAACGCGCATTCGTAAACGTCTTTTGCGCATGCACACACGCATATTCGCAGCCATAAAGGTCTACTGTCTTACGGTCAACGCGACGCATGCGCAGAAAGTTTGTAGCTTTGAGGTCCGGATTATAGATCATTCCGGATTATGGGTGTCCGAATTAACGACTTTTGACTGTATAAATTTGAAAACAATACTCCCAAATTGTTTAAACAGGTAGTTAATCAGTTTTTGATGTTTCATTTACTCGATAACACTCTCAATTACAGTGTCCATTCTTTACACTCTCAAAATTAGTATAAGAAATTACACACTGTCAAGAAACTCAAAACTGTCATAAAAATTACATACTTGATGAGAATGCAGAAACCAATCTTAGGAACATATGACACCTTCAAAAAAATAAATTTTGGAATTCATAAAATTCTTGAAATATTACAGTTAAAGCCTGACCATTTGGCATTTAACTAATCCGAATATATTTGCCCACATGCATTATTGACAAATAGTGTGATTTAGTCCCCAAAATGGATAAGCATGGCATTGTATCACAATCATAAAAATGTAATCTTGATTTTATTTAAGCCTGATTAATTTCCAGTAAGCTGGTTCAAGTTTTGAGAAGGATATAAGTCATATTTTTTCCTTGCATTTTGAAAAGATGATTCATATTTTGGGTCTCCTTTCTATGAAACAGTACATGGTGGAGTACTGTCTAAGTTGAATGATCATGGCATAAAAAAGACATGATGTGCAAACTTATTTGAAAACAGATAAACAATAGCAATGCAACATTATAAATATTTTAAGTTTTTTTATATGCTGCATGTATGATTTGTATCTTTTTATTATCTAACCATATGAATAATGATCTGTTCAATTAAACTTTTACTGGAATGATTGGCGCAAGTTTGGCAACAGCTCCACCAAATCCCACAATTGGTTAAAATGTTTAACTTTCATGTTTAAGGGTTACAAAAGATGTTGGCTTTTATACTCCGAAATGCATTAAAAAACTTACATAATTTGAAATGTAAGCTTTTGATATTCAAATTGGTAACAAAAAGATTACAGTTAATATAATTTTAGACTAAAAACTTCTTCCATTTATTTGTCTTTTCTAACATGAATTAAATTTTGATGTATTCAACTATCTGGAATTGTTACCATGTATCTGACATTTTCTATGTTTTCTGGATAGTCAAGACTTATCTTTTATAACCTATTTTTCCCTTTTCCTCAACTTTGAGCCAGTTCTGTTTTCGCATTTTAAGATTTTACAGAGGGCAGCACCTTTTAGAAATTTCTTAAGTGGAGTTAACGAACACCCTCCGCATCAGTAATTTTTATAGACAGAACCCAACGTTTGGCAACCACACACACATAGTTTAACAGGATAGGACATTTTAAATGCATGTTAAAATACTTAGTTCTACTACTGGATACCTTATTGCATACTTTTCCAAGAACTACAAATTTTTGCCTCTGGAGATCACCATATCCCTCGTAAAATCGCTTATCTGCTGGAAGTGCCTTCGTTGATGGCGGCCTGGCCATTCTCTCCTATTACACGTATCCTATGGGACAAAAACCAACTTTCTTCGATAATTCGTCTGGCAAAAATAACAACACGAATATTGCCCATTCTGCACGTTCCCTTCCCTTATATCTTACTTCACGTGCGTCGGAGAGCTGCGCATTTCCAATATCGAGTGGTGTCTATTCATAGATTCGATCATGTTTTATTTCTAGTTTATTACTTACACCTATACCAAGAAATTCAGGCAGATTTTTCAACTGCATTCTTTTGACTTCTTCAAATATTACAAAAATTTCAAATATAAGTTTTTATTTTAAACCAAAATCAGTCCCATATTTGTTTCATTATGTTTGCTTAGTCACAATATTACTCTTTAGACAAGCCATCTAATCAAATAGGCCTATATGAAATAATGGATTCTTCCACCTCAAACTCTTAAACAACATAAACATTTAAAACTTATATCAATGCCATATCTGAGAGGTTCTGCCGTTATTTCATGATAAATACAAATGAAGCAGAAACTTTCATTGAATCACATTAGTATTACTTTATTCTATAGTATTTTGCCATCTTTCAGGCAGCTGGAAAATATTCTTTTTAAAAAAGACATTAGGCTTATTTGTAAAGAAGTTATTGAGTGCTGTTTGACAAGTGAACTTCAAGCCATTCAGAAAATTCTGAAGTGACCTACAGAAATTAAAATTTGAGAAGGCATGGTCTAGGGAGACAAGAGTTGAAAAATACATCTCACCCATATTCAATAATTTTTCATCAGACATGGGGCCGAATAATGTGATGAAAGATACTTTGAAGACTGGCGAGTTCTGGGCACTATGCTTCGATTTCTGCTCTAAAAACGCCATTTGGAAATATGATTTTATTATCTGATTTGGTGGCAACAATTCATAGTACATAATTCCTTTGCAAGTGCCACCATACACAAATCATTACTTTTTTTGGGGGGGGGTGTAGCCCCTTTTCAATTTTACTACAGAAGACTCTTTTGGTTTACTCTATGATCTTTTTCTTGTAACACAACTGTACAAGATCCACTTCTCATTTTCAGTAATAAGTCATTTCTTTACTTTTTTCCTAGCAAAGAATCACATGCATAAACTAGAGTAAGCATATTGTGCTCAGTTATAATATAGAGTATGTATACATAGTAATCCTCTTCAAATGATCAAATACTGTACTGTTGGGAGTATTTTGTTTGACCGACAGTTCTGAACGCTATAACTTTAAGATTTACAGCAACAGATTCTTCTAATAGGTCAGTGTTTACAGAGAATGGTCATCCAAAGTGGGCATTAATTTTGAGGCTGAAATTTCCACACCAGCCTCAAACTGTCATTAGACGCAGCACTTTTTCCATAAACAGCACAAAACTTACAAGCCCATTTTCCCTTTCTTAAAATAAAATAGCATACTGTGACAAAACTATACTTTTGGATTTTCCCTTCTTGGAACTGCATTGAAACAAAATTTATGCCACAATGCAAGCAAGAATTATTCAATGTGAAGAGGAATGACTATATTTAATCAAAGTCAGTTCATACCGAAGTAACAGAATAATTGAAAGAAAAAAAAAAAAAAAAAAAAAAAAACTATTTGATTTGAAAAACTGCAGAACTTTTGACAGACATAGCACATCCAACACATAAAGTAATAATAATAAAAAAAAATGCTCTAGAGTCTAAAGAGTGAATAAGGCAGGATTTCACAAGTAAATTTCTGTTATTTTAAAACCATGCAATTTAACAATAAAACAACAAAACTAAGAAATCTTAGCTATCAAACTAAAAATTTAATGGCTAAAAATTATATATATTGCATTAAAAATACCTTGTTGTTTTATCAAAACTGATTTTGTTCACTTGCATATTTAAAATGTTAAGGCAAGACCAAAAAACTTTAAAATATAATTTTTGTGTCAGACATCTGATTAACATTATAACTGCATTTAACTTGAGGCCTTAGCCTCACTGCATACATATAGCATGCTGAATCAGACGGGATTCTAAAAATTGCCACATTGAGGTAAGTATTTGATAATGACAATGCAGTGAGGAAATGTATTAAAAGCAGGCATCATTATGGCATTCCACAGCAGAACTTTACATGTGAAAAGGCAGGGATTAAAAAAAAAATCTTAAACAGCTAACCCATTTCATTAGTAACTGAGTTTTGGATGAAACAACCAGAGTAGTTCCAAACACTTGCACTGGTGCCAAATGTTACTATAAAAGAAAATGTAGACTTGCGTGATTTGTGCAGTAAACATTGCTAGCTTCTTTGGCAACAATCAAATAATAATGTTGTGTGCTTATGGGTTCGTGAATGCACACAGAACAGAGGATAGCTTGATAAAATTTATTTTCCCAAAAGAAACATTTTACAGTTCAGGAACTTTTCACAGAAGTACTCCTACACTTCTATATATAACAGAGTACAATCAGTAGCTTACATTTCTATTAATAATATTAAATACAATATAACGCAAAGTGCGAGTGAATTTTGCAGGATCTGTCAATACTCCAAAGTCAGCTCTGAATTAAAAACTAAAAACTGATAGTTTTCCACCTGCTGCTGAGAAATTTATAGTACCTTCCATTTCTTGAAATTAGTGGAAGGCAGATATGGTTACAGTCACAGGGCACAATTATAGACATTCAACTACACTACCGATTACAACTATACAGGAAACGGACAAAAAATGTCGACAAGTCTGAGTACAAAATTTAGTCACCAAAACTCGTCAGCTTGGTGATATCTCGTCAATTTAGCGAGGTAGCCATTTACTTTAATGCTAAATACACTTGCCCCTCTTACCTTATTTCTCCAGCAGAGCTTTGGCTTTCAAGAATGTCATGTCATATTATACAAAAGATACTAGTTTCAAGTATAATTTCACTAAGGTTATTTTCTGTATATACAAAATTCATAAGAAAAGTATACTTGCTAAGATAAGGAAATAACTTTTTTTTTTTTTTTTGCTTCATAGTCAATGCAGTTAATAAAATTGGATGTCATGAAGTAAGTTGCAAAATCAATAAAATCTCTGCTGCTATGAAATTTCATGTTTGTCTTTCTGCATACGAGGTACTATTTCAGGACATATTAATAGTAGTACAAGTAGATTCCGTCATTTAAAAATCTAATTTTTAAGGCTCCCAAAATACTTAAAAATTTAAACTTTTGTGTAATACATGACTTACGCTTTAACTTAAGCTTACATTTAAAAAAAATTCTGATACAGTTCATTTGCCTTATGTAGCTTCACAGTTCACTCACCATACACACATTTCACACCATCACACAGATCAGTGTGATTACTAGATAATGGAAAGTGTTTTTTTATCACATTCATTACACATAATTTTACACTCACTACATTATACTGCAGCACTATGGAAAACAGTGGATATTATACAACAAACTCTCAATTTTATGAACTTTTTTTTAAATAGCCAGGCTCTTTATTTAACAGCCATTACAAGGGCAGAAGTGATGCCATTTCATTACGGAAGCACCTAATAAGTGGCCATCATTGCCTCCTAGGAAGGGATGGACAGTTACAACCATCTCTTCTCTGGGATTTGAACCCGGTACCATTGCTGTGGCAGTTAGGATCACTAACCACTATACCAGCTAGGCAGCCATTTTATGAATGACCCACAAAAATAATTCACAAAACTTGAAGTTCTTAAAATGTAATGCTATCAGAAAGTAATAAAAATTTGAGTTCACCAAATTTTTTAATGTAAAATGCAGATTTCAAAGATCCTTTATACAGTCAATTCCTAATCAAATGAGCTGTCAATTAACTTGACCTGCTCTAAAAATATTACTGGTTAATTCATTGCAGAATTATGGGGAAATTACTGCCACCAAGTATTTGTGTAAAACAAATAAGGATGCGGAAAATACAAAAAAGTAAAGAAAAGAATGCACGGTAATAAAGCAGTAACAGCAAGTCTTTGTATTTTAACATAGTTTTTAACTAAAGGTACAAAATTCAGCTGTATGTAATCCAGAATTTCCAAACCAAACATTTAAAAGCAAGTTCATCAAACATAAAAATAAATCTAGTGTACAGCCATTAATCCTCTACTTCACGATAACTTTAATCAAAATATGTATATGCAATACAAGCAAAAACAAGCAGCAGATGAACATAGGACTGAAAGAAATAGATACAGGGTATGCAAGTTCACTCAGCAAGAAAGAACTTTGAATACTAATTTACATAACTAAATGAATTTATTCACTAGATTAACCTGCTTGAAAATACAAGTAAGTTGCTCACAATATTTTTCTGATAATTTTTTATTTGAAACAATCCTCTTTCCTATTAACAAAGGAAAAAAAAAATTGCAAAGGAATGAAAGTCAATGCACTTCGCTTTCAGTATAAGACATACAGTTACATCTAGGGGCAACAAAAAATATGAATTAAATGCTCTATCTAAAAAGTCACATGGCCACACAATGAATTTAAACGGTGATTCATGTGATACACCCAACCTTGAGATAAACATCTATTGTCAGTACCTATATGATACACCATGAAATGGTTAACTTTACAACATTATGGATTCAGATTACATCACTTTACATGTTCAATTGAAAAAGGACTGCTATTAATAAACTAAAAACTTTTTCACTTCATAAAAATAAAAATTTAGACAAGCAAGAATTTTACCTCTCTTTGATCAACTGTATATTTGTTTCATATTCTGAATGTCCAGCTAGTAAATCTCTTCCTCGAATAAATAATTTAAAGCCAACAGCAGGTGATTCAAGATATTTTGCAAGATCATGGACAAAACGTATATCTTCATCAGCATAACAAACATATGCATCATAGTATGTGGGCTCTGAAAATATATTTGATAACATACATAAAACAGAATTATATTGAAAATACCATCATTTTCAAGTAGCTTAGTTTAACACTAACTAAACGAAAGTTTAGTAAATGAATAAACAAAAGCTCAGTTTTATACTAGATATAACCTATTATTATTTAGTTTTTTACCCGACTGGAAAAATACACATTTAAGCTATGTAAAAAGATGCAACATGATTTAACATTTTAAATATTAATTTTTAACTCATTAGAAATGTAATAAAAGTTCTGTAAAAATGAATTTCTATCTAATTTATTATTTACTAGATTTCAGAGCCATAATATTAAATCCACCACGAAAACCACTTTTCATAACTTTGTCTTTCCAGCAACCTCATGTGTAATATATATAAATGAGCCTCCATGAAGGCATCACTCCTTTTATTCAGATAGCCCTCAAGGCTTTGTTGTAATCACATAAACCAAACCTTTCAAGCAACCTTTTTATTAAACTGTGAAAATTTCAATTACAGTCAAAAGTCGTTAATTCGGACACCCATATTTCGGAATGAATCTATAATCCGACCTCAAACTAAACTTTCTGGCGCATGCGTTGACACATGCGCATAGGCGTTTAACGCGTGCGCGTAGACCTTTATAACTGTGATATGAGTGTGCGCAAGTGCAGAATACGTTTTCGCGTGCGCGTTTTATGTATAATGGACGTATAGCTAAATTATCTAATTATCTATTTTCAGTTAATGTTGATGATTGCGTTGTTCCTTAATTTCGATTGGATCCGGCTTATTATTTTTGCAGACTGTAAAAGCAATTTATAAAAGTAAGCTTAACTTTCGATTATATCAAATAGAATTTCCGATATATATTTGTTAATATGTAGGATCTAAAGCGAAAAGTATTTTTGAAATCCGAAATCTGTTTATCAATTTCATGCTGCTCGCATTAGTCGGCATTCCAACACAATTATAGGGACTTGACACGGGACTTTGTACTGAACAAGAATTAATGTCTGTTTATAGAATTAATAAAAGTATTATCACATAAAACGAGCAACTTAAAACAACTTACATTGAAAGAAATGTTTAATAAAGTAAACAATAAATATTAAGCCTTTTTTTTTTGTAAATTTGATACCCTTTAGATCATAATTGTTCTTATTTCATAAATTCAGGTTTCTATTTTTAATTTATAATTTCTGCATGCCATCCTACCAGATTTAAACTGATGACCTATAATCCAGAAAAATCGATAATCCGGAATCGCCAAAGTCCCGACGAGTCTGGATTAATGACTTTTGACTGTAGTATCAGAGATCATTTTTACTCCTGCATTAATTTCCATATCGTTAACCATTTCTTCAGCTAGCACAGCACAAGACGCAAAAAGATCCCAATCAGCTTTATCATAAAGTAAGCGTGATTACCTTGAGATCACTGACTTTCCTGTAATATTTACAATCACTGGGGAATGGTCACTATCGTAGAGATTCTCCCCTACACTGAAAGAGCAAAAATGTAGTAAAGATGGAGAACAAAGAATCAGATCAATAGCATGAAATGTTCTAGTCGGCTTTTGAAAGTAGGTGTATTCTTCATTATTAAGGAGACAAATAGAATGATCTTCCATTAATTGTTCGATCTGCCAGCCCCCTGAATTAATGTCCCTACTTCCCCATAAGGTACTAAGTGCATTGAAGTCACCTAAAAGCAGAAAAGGTTCTGGGAGCTGTTTTATTATTCTGTCCAGCTCTTGGTGATCTACATGCTCATGTGGGGGTAAATAAATAGTGCATACATATCAAAGCATTCATATTTAAATGGAAAGAAATTTATGTCCGACAGGCCCACCCACCATGGAGTCCAACAAGGGGACGCAGATTCCTACGCCAGGGCTAGCCGGACCTATACGCAAACTGAAGTCCCATAGTCGGCTTTCCCAAAAGCGAAAGTTTGCCCCAACTACTGACACAGGCTATGACCATCCGACTGACACCGTTAAACGACAAGGTGCCTCCTATTTAACTGAAGCAGAGGTCAAAGCAGTGTGCTGGGGACAGTACCTCGCCCCTCAACTACCAGGACCCTCCTTTCCAGTCACATGGGTCTCAATGCATGGCAAACCATGTGGACGGTTTTCGAAAAACTCGAAAATTAGGGACAAGGCTGTTCCAGTTTCTTATGATGAGCCCGAACCTCAGAAGAGGAAACCGAAAAGTTGCAGTTAAGAGGAGAGGAGGCAGAAAGGAGAAGAGATCACTGGGGCTCCAGATTGGCACCTGACCACCAGAACGTAACTAAGACTCTTCACTCTCCTGAGTAGCTTGGCTGCTATGCTCATTGGTTGCCCCGACCAGGAGCTATGCTCCTGACGTACTTCTCCTGTTCTGCCCAGTGACCCCTCCTTGCCATGTTGAGGCAGCACAGCAGGACTTGGGGGGGGATATGCCAGTTTAGATTTAATTGGTGAAAGAAAGGCTCCTAGAAACCATACTTCCAAAACAAATTCTTGGCTTACATAATTTTATTCAAATATTACATAGCTTTGTCATCACATGGACATAAGCAAATATACTTACCACCAGTTATAATGTCACCTGTGGTCAGAATACTGAAATCTTCAACAAACTGCGATTTTTGTATATGGCAAGAGGTCACTAGAAAGAGGAAATCAAAATATTTATTTTGCAGACAGGTGTAAAAAAGATACACTAAATATTTAATATATTCATAATTTGAGTTTCTCTTTGCAAGTATATAATTAATAAAAGGAAGACAAAGCTCCATTAAAATTACCAAGTTTCGAATGCTTCACTTCAAAATTATTAACATTATGTTCCCATAACTGTGGAATTCTTGATGATTTTTAGTAAAAAACAGTTGTTATACAGACAAGGCATTTCCTAAATTGTGCAGATTAAAAACAAATGCAACAAATCAGTCAAAAAACAAAAATTTTTATTTTATATACACTCCAGTTAAACATAAGAAAATGATATCTCGCATATGTCCACCATCATTTCTTAGCAGGCAGCTACTCTACTAGCAAAATTCACAATGACCCTTTCACAGACATTTTCGCTGATTTTGCCACTGACCCATTAGATTTCTCTTTTTAATTTGGGAACTGTTTGTGGTTTGTTCATGTAAACATCTGACTTGGTATAACTCCATGAAAAGCAGTTGCAAAATGAGAGGTCACATTACATTGCAGGCCATTCCTAGTTACTGCTACTCTACACAGCAACCTGCAATCATTCAAATTTTCACAAAACAAGATTACTGGCTTGTGAAATATGTAGCAAGTACCCCTTTTGAAACCATACATTTGCAGTATGCATGTCATCACAAGCAGGAATGAAGATCATGTGCAATTTAAAGTCTTTGACCAGTACTTTTTTTAATGAATTTTCATATGATTATGACGCATCGCTCTTTAGTAAACTTTGATGGCACCTAAACTGAAAAGCAACAAAATGTTCAGTCTATCAAAGTGACAATATATAATGGAACTGATAAGAACAATAAAGACAACTTTAAAGGGGAAAAATGCTGTGCAAAAGAAATATCTTACAAAAGTTTTACTCAGTTTCAAAATGAATTATGGCCATTATTACCATATTTGAACAAATTCTTGGAGAATTGTGAGATCATAAGCACTTATACTTTTTTTTACAAGTATTGTCTCCCTTCCGGCCCAAAAAAAAAATCTGGTCCACAAAACATTTTAGTTCAAACTAAAAACATGTAAACAAGGTTTTGCTAATAATGATAAAACTAAAAGAACACTATGGATCATTTCTGTACACAGTTTCATAGGTTAAATAATATAAATTTAGCTATTTACAAAAACACACTCGCCATAAATGCATTACTTTTGGGTTCAAAACAAATTTAATAAAGTATGTAAACTCTAATTAAACATATACCAGAAATTATATAATAAAGGTAAATTCAAATATATAGATAGTTCATCAGATAGTTTGCAAAGACACAGCATGGACAGAGCACATAAATGGTTTATATGAATTTCTTCAATATTTCAATTCAATGACGCTGCATGCATCACTATTACAGGCGTAATTATAGTAAGAGAGCTGGCAGAACTTGCAAACAAATATAGCAACAACAGAAGATGAACTTTTATATAAGAAGGTTAGCTTAGTAGGCCACATTTCAGGAACTTCAAAAGAAAATTTGATAACCCATCAAATCGGATAGTTAAAAAAAATCTAAGTTTTATTGGTCTTGAGAGCTAGAAGTATATTTGTAAAAGGCGTACATTCATAATTGGATCTATGTCGAAAAACGGCCTCTGTATGTGGACTGATTATCAAGAGTAACACTTTAAATATTAACTATTTCAATAACAAAAATTGATTTAAAAATAAGTTATTTAATACATTAAACAATTTTTATTTATAAAAATTACACATAAAACCACATTTTACAAATATTCTTCATATTAATGAGTTCAAAAATTAATTACGTATTTAATCCAGTTCTCATATTAACGTAAATCACCATGGGGTTAAATAGAAATATTACATTATGGTGAGAAAGTTCTACATTTTAATGTAAAAATGTATAATAGGAACAGTTTCTAGTAGCAGGGACCTTCTGAAAACTGAAATATTTTTTAAATATGAAATTCTTGTTTTCTTATTAATTCTTATTGCTTATATCAAAATGAATTTTTACATATGTAAATTTATGTACATAAATTCTATTAAGTTTTAATATATTAATGTTTGCAATTGAAGCTGGAGGGGGGACTTAAGAAAGGAATGTCTTGAAAATGGACACTATTATTCACATTACAAATATAAAAATGTTTAAAAAATATCAATTCACTCAGAGAGTTTGATCAAAAATTTAACTTCAAAGCGATAAATTCCAATGTTAACAAAAGTATACACAGCTGAAAATAATGTATTCTGAAAACACTGCCTTTTATTTGAGCTGTACTTCAGTGATGCATTTTCCTACAGTGACAGTACTCACGCAGAGACTGAAATTTTATTACCTCATCGATATTTTACATTTAATGGACATGAGAGTGATTGCAGTTTATGTAGTTATGTAACAGAGATATGTAATAGAAATATTACATGTTTTGATTATTTATGTTTGATTAACAGTTTGAGAAAAATTTTCTAAGCATATGCATGCTGGTCTAATTTGAACTGATTAATACAGTATAATGCAACATGCTATTTTTCACATAACATAAATTTTCCTTGTGTATATATGTATAAAGTATACATGTATATTTCCAAAAGTACAAATTTTCCCTACATATTATTTATGCGGTGTAAGCACTTTCCAAATGAAAAATACATTTATAGATAATGTAGCATACATTGAAAAAATAGTACCCTGACCACGAAATTCAGCAAATGACCATGATTCATATTAGCATACAAATGAAATCAATTTGGTGTGAATGTGCATGGGTCATGCACCCTGCAGTGACACAGCAACTGTGAACTGGCAGATTTAAAAAGGGCTCATGCAACTGTATATGGAAGAAAAATAATGCAATTCACATACTAGAGACTATTTCTTTGGTCGATATACATTCAGAGAGGTCTTCTCATGAAGGGTGCAGCAACAAACAGTGCTATGCAATAATGGATAAGTGAAGAAATACACATTAATTTTACAGCATTTTGAGTTTTTAAGTTGAATATTTTTGAACAGTTGAACTCTCTCTATATAATGGTAATTACTTGTATGGTTTATTTCACATTTAAAGAGTGCAATTATTCATTACATTACAATAATTAAATTTCCTCTCCTAATTCTAAAGTTTCATTTAACAAAATACCCAATTATATGAGCCTAACCAAATTTTAGAACAAAGGGGCAAAATGATATTTGTCATAAAATTTTAAAATTTAAATACTGCTCTTATTTAAATTATTTGCATAACAGAGAGAAAACAGAAAGAACTTAACTTTTAGATAAAGGCAAATTGCTAATTATTTTTAATGGAAATAGATGAAATCGATCAAAACTCTTTCAGTGAGAGAAGTACACTGCAAAATGCTCAGACCATAAAACGTTAAGGGCAGCTTATATTTTATTATTAAGGATGCAGATTAAAATCATAGAAGTTTATTTTATTTTGTCCGGATTTTGGGACTACAGCAAACATTTATGTTGCAATGTGGTTACATGCAAAAAATTCAAGATGAGATTTCTATCTTTTAACAAAAAATAGCTTTGGAATATCGTAAATAGGTTTAAATACACCATTCTAATAACTTTCACATAACTTTAACAAATTTTTTAGGACAATGTTAAATAAACTTAGAAAAGGCAGGATCAGATTTAAAATTAATTAAATAATGCAAAATTACTCTACGTACCAACAATGAAGAAATTTAATTAAAATTTATTAAACATTTAATCACAATTTTCTGATGTAAATAAGAATATATTTACCTTCAGGCACTTGTAATGGAATTTCAGTTGACCGTTTCATATTTCTTAAATAGACATTAGCATCATTTTCTAGAAAAGACAAGACTATTTATTTTCCATAAGAAGGGGGGAGTATAATTTTAAATCAAAATGAACTATAAGAGATTAAAAAAGCTTCTTGCTAACCAAACTGAGGTCGAAGGTCTTGGACAACATCATGTCGTCCCATATTTTCCAAAAATTGAATTAACTGAGAAATTGTTGTATTTGGCCTTGCATCCCAAGCTTCCAAAATTTTCATAGTAGGATCCTCATTTCGTTGAAAATTCTTGATGTCGTTGTACTGAAAATCCATTTGTTCAGCAAGACCTCTATAGTCACGTGCAAAGCCATTTTCAGATGGCAATGCTTGTTCGGGATTTAAAAACCATGCTAGGCGAAGCCGACTGGATATGTTTAGTGCTTTTGCAGAAACTCTGTCAAAATCGATTTCCTCCATTTCTCCGAATGACAATCAAAAAGGCTTTCCCCTCTAAGGAAAATAATGCACAACAATATTTTATCAGAATAATTATAAAAGTTCCTATTTTAAACCATTTAGATAAGCAATAAGATCAACAAAAGCAAGAATGATAGAATAAAATAATGCCTTATAGTTTTTATTCAAATCCTTCCCTCAAAATGTCTAGAACATAACTCTCCCAAGATTCCTCATCTTGCTGCAATTTTTATGTTCAGTAATAATTCATTATCAAAATTATGACAAATTTGTTCTTTTTTTTTTTATACTAAAGCCATAATACAAATGTTAAACACAATTTAAAATGATAATGTAATCACAAAGCAAAGATTTTCTGAAAGCTCCAAATATAGTCATATGAGCAAAAATTGAAATTTGACATGACCTAATAAGTTTATCTTCTTAATACTTGATAAAATAAGCAGACGAAGCACTTGGCCAAATCAGAACCTCTTGACAAAATAATTTGTTAAGGAAGTGCTGACGAACATCAAATGATTTGTGTTCATCAGTACAAATCATTTCATGTTCATCAAACTTTCCTGCATACCTAGTATTTTTGGCACTTACTCAGGGCCCGGTTTAGCCTAATTGGGACCCGGAGCAAAAACTTCTTTGGGCCCCCCCCTCTGCTTCAATAATGAAGAATTGAACTTTATGAAGGTATTAAAATTTTTCACCCGTCATTATAGATTTATAACAAGAAAATTTACTAGAACCTAAAATATCGTTTTGTCCATTTTATTGATTTTCTGACAATTCTACGTCTATCATTAAAAGG